TGGCATGTGGTGCTGGGGGATTGAACCGCGGTCCCTATGCTTTGCTAAGCTTGTTCTAAGTAGGTGCTCCAGACCACTGAGCCATCTCACCAGCCCCAATGATATAAATACTTTGGGGACATTTTGAAATAATATTTATTTTGTAGTTCAAGAAGAAGATTAATGCGATGGATGGTGCTGATGACTTTCTCAGCCACCCAGAACACCCTCCGAGGATAGTGAGTCACCTTGCACCAACTGTGACGATATGGTGCTGCTATCTGAGCACCCAAGAATGGCCTGCAAAGGTAAGAAAATGCAGTAGGAAAATGCAAGGCTTTCAATGGATATCACAATACTGGGTGTACCTGTTGTTGAGCACTGTGCCGTGGAGCTTAGATGTGTTACAGTGCTATTTGTGCCAAAGTGTGCTTTGTATCAGCATATGAGGAGAGGTCGTGTACACTCTAGCCACAGAGCAGCAAGCATCCTACAGCTCTTTCTTAGTGTAAGGGTCATTCCCAGGGTTTTTGTTGACTCTGCTTCCTTCTGTACCTGGTTCATTATCAAGTCAGAAAACTGTATTCTCTACTTGGAAAACTCTCATTAGATTCCTTGCTAATCCCTCTTCTAAAACTAAGATTTGTTCTGTAACCATGTGTGGTGGATTGACAACTGGTAATCAACTTGTAACATCCAGCTGAACTCAGTTAGTGTGGTCCTAGGTATGCAAGGCCCTTCTGAGGGCTGTTGCAAGAAAAGCAAGAAGAGCTGAAGGAAAAGAAGCTGTCGGAAGCTGTTTGTTCTCTAGGGGCTGTTGGTTCTCCTGCAGGAGCTTGTCACGCAGCTTTCCTGATGAACTCTGCTGTCGTCATTGTTGAAGGAGCGCAAGACCTTGCTGTCACTGCGGGTAGCTATGGTTCACTTTGGGGGATCTCTGGTTCTTATTCTGAGCATTGCTTCCTGACTCCAGAAGGGAAGATGGTGTACTATTCTGTGTCCTGGAGAAGGTTATTGCGCTGGGTTTCCCGCTATCAACTAAGTTGTTCTCCTTGTCTAAGAAACTCAGTACCGTGGCACTGGTGGTGGCTGTGGTACCTCTCGGGGGCTGTGCTTCTTATTTTGAGCGTTGCCCCCTAAACCTGGTGCAGATCCTCCCGCCTGCTAGCTCAGAACTTCCTTCTTCTGGCGCAGACTTTCCAGCTTCTGCCATGCACCTTAGAGCACTTCCACCACTGACCATTGGAATTCCTGCTGTAAGTCCATGAGATTTTTTTTCTTTTTTCTTTTTTTATCTTTAGGATAGGATGTACAGGCTGCACAGGGTCTCACTGCATAGATCAGACTCGTGGTGATCCTCCTGTTTACAGCCTCCGAAGTGCTGGGATTACAGGCACACACCACCACGTCCAGTCTCAATCACCCTCTCAGGGTGCCCCGGGACAGGGCTGGCATGGCAGGCCTGGGGATGGAACTCCAGGTCCCTGCGTCTGCCAAAGCAAGCATGTTAATCCATTGAGCTATTTGGCCAGTCCTATGAAACAGACTTGCATGAGTCATTGTCACGAGCTCTAGCTCTTTAGTTTGACTCATGCAGGACATTGTCATGGGATCCAGGCCCTTAGCTGGATTCATTTGAGTAGACAGATTTCTGGCACTGTTTGCATATGCCTCTGTGGGTGGCTATTATGAAATAATCCTATAAATTATGTGTCTTATAATTGTTTTCCTTGCAAATCCTGAGTACAACCAAATTAGTACCAATAGTGGGGTCATTGTGGAGATGTTCCCTGGCCATGTGGCTTAAGAACCTCGAGAATTAATTTGGAAAAGTTTTGAGAGACTGTCCAAAGATGCAGCCTCTGTATGCTGTAAAGTATAGTGGAAACTCTTGATGGAGCCTGGAAAATCAGAGTACTGGTGGACATAGAGCCAGTAAAAATGAAGAAGCTCAGGAGGCTTCTGTTGAGAAGGACTTCATTGGCTGCTGGATGCCAGGTAATACGTGTGTGTTGGCAGGAAATTGCTCTGCATTTTGCTTGTGTTTAGAGGTACTACCTGTGTGGCAGAAAAATTTCTTTTCTTTTTTGGTACCAGGAATTGAACTCCAGGCCTCAGACTTGCCAGGCAGGTGCTGCACCACTGAGCTACATCCCTGCACCAGAAAAATTTCAATGTTGTCTACTGCTAGGACCAAGAGTGGAGTCATTGTTGAGACGTGTGATTATTGTTAAGAGCTTTTGGTCAGATACATGTTTGAAATTAAAAGTGAGGAGCCAGCAAGGTGATGTGAAACATTTGGTGAGAGGGGAGAAGAGTAGATTGCAAGGATGCAGTAGAGGAGAACGTGGTTGTTAAGAATAGGACAATGGAAAAATGAACTGAAGCCTTTCACCTGAAAATAAAATTGTGGTTGAATTTCAGGAGATCCCTGTTTTTCAGTCTTGTTAAAAGTTAAAGAGAAGAAATTCCTGTGATTTTAATACTTCTATTTTGATTTGAATGTCATTTTATTTTTTTCATTATTTTTTTAAAATTTTTATTATTTTTTTAAATATACTTTTATTTTATTTATTTATTTATGTGTGTGTGTGTGTGTGTGTGTGTGTGTGTGTGTGTAGTCAGCTCAGCCCACCAGGGGGCGGGGCTGGCTGACATGTGGTGCTGGGGGATTGAACTGTGGTCCCTGTGCTTTGCGAAGCTTGTTCTAAGTAGGTGCTTTAGACCACTGAGCCATCTCACCAGCCCTTGAATGTCATTTTAGATACGTGTTTGTAATCAGGTTATTCACCACAAAGTGTTGTGTTTTTTGTTGTTTGTTTTGGCAGAACCAGGGATTGAACTCAGAACCTTGCCCTTGCCAGGCAAGTGCTTAGTCTACTGAGCCATCACCCCGGCCCCTGGTTTTTGTTTGTTAATTTTAGAATTACACTAGGTTCTCTCAGAGTCTGGAAAACTGGTTGCTGGCTAAAGTGTTGTGGGGGAGGCAGGTAGAAAGGAGTGTCCACTGAAAATCTTTGCTGTCATCTGTTGGGAACTTTGCTGTGCATTTCTACCTTAAGTGTATCAACAGGGCTTTGTGACTCATTGCCAGAGAGTTCGAAAACATCTCCTGGGCAATGAAGGTAGAGCTCAGTCTAAGGCTTAACATCTTTGAGTTCTGTAGCTCTCAGAATGTCTCAGACTTGAGCTATAGAAGTGCTGCTTTCCTCCTCAAGTTGTGACGGCCCTTTCTGTTCCAGGCTCGATTGATGACGTTCTTGGTGAAGTCTTGGGTGATGACAGTTAGTGTTCCTCCTGCCAGATCTTTAAATCTTTAGATCTAGGCCTCCTCCCCCCACCTCCCCCCCTTCTTCCTTTTTCCATGTATGTATTTGGTGCAGGATCTCCCTACACAGCTCAGACTTGTAGTGATCTGCCTACTTTCAGCTTCCCCAGAACTGGTTGCAGCTCAGTGGAAAGGAGAGGAGTCTGCCCATGTCATTGTGCGTGGCTTTCCCCTACGTAGCCCTGTTGGATGGTGCCACCCAGGAAAGATTTCCCAGCCAGCGCCCTCTCATCTCTGAAGATGTACTCACAGCTGCACCCAGCAGTGCGCAGTGCTAATGTCCTGGGTGCTCCTCAATCCCGGCAAGTTCATAGCGAGTTAAGGCCGCAGGACCTGGAGATGAGCTCCCACACAGAGGCCCACAGCTGGGGCTCTCCTGGCCTCCCACTTACTTCTGTGCTTCTCTGCTGTTGATGTTTCAGAACCTGCAGCTTGCTTCCTGAGCTCCCAGAAACCCACGGTGCTCCCCGTGCCTGTCCAGGTAGGGAGTGGGACAGATGGAGGTGCGTCTGGGCCCCAGGGAATCATTGTCCCATGCTCAGAGGCAACTCCAGAGTTGGACATGATAATCTGAAGAGTGTATCACACATGCCTCACGTGACAGCAGCCAGCTTGCTCTGGTGTCTCCCATCTGTGCCCTGCTGTGGGTTTAGCCTCGTGACTTCTAGTAGAGTGGGTGTAATCCTGACAGCATCAGCAGGGTTTTGGAAGTGGCCATCTGGGACAGCTGGGAATGCTCCAAGACACACATGTCCCGCTGGTCCATTTAGAAAGCCTCCCCCATCCCTCCTCTCCTGCCACGGATTCTCCAGTTCTGTCACCTGTGACACCTGAGCCCTAGAAAAGTGGTACTCAGGGCTTCTCCCCGCGACCCAGGAAGGGTGGAACTGTATGGTTCATTTACTCCTGGGGCTGTCATACCACAGCTGAAACAGACACTGACAGAAACCAGATTGAGAAATTCTTAAAAAGAGTACAAGAACTGGAGCAAGAAGTACAAAGACTTAAAAAAGAACAGTCGAACAACATCAAAGACCCAAACATTAAAGAAAATTCTTTAGGATCTGCAAAAGCTAAGCGTGCATTTGATTTCAGTGCCCACAGCCGAAGATATGTAGCCCTAAGAATAGCCTATCTAGGCTGGGGATACCAGAGCTTTGCTAGTCAGGAAGATACAGACTACACCATTGAAGAGAAACTATTTGAGGCTCTGACCAAGACTCGACTGATAGAAAGATAGAAAGCAGACAGACTTCCAACTATCACAGATGTGGGCGGACGGACAAAGGAGTTAGTGCCTTTGGTCAGGTGATTTCTCTTGACCTGTGGTCTCCGTTTCCAAGGAGCAAAGATTCACAAGATCTTAACTTAAAAGATGAAGTCAATGATGATGCCAAAGAGATCCATTACACCCACATTCTCAGTTGGGTTCTCCCTCCAGACATCCGTGTCCTGGCCTGGGCTCCTGTAGAACAGAGCTTCAGTGCTAGGTTCAACTGTCTGGAACGCACTTACCGCTATTTTTTCCCTCGCACTGATTTAGATATTGTAAGGATGAATGATGCAGCTCAGAGGTACGTTGGTACCCATGATTTCAGGAACTTGTGTAAAACGGATGTAGCAAATGGAGTGTTTAATTTTCAGAGGACTATTTTGTCTGCTCAAGTACTACTAGTGGGGCAAAGCCTAGGTGAGGGGAGATGGCAAGAACCTTTCCAGTTATGTCAATTTGAAGTGACAGGGCAGGCTTTCCTTTATCATCAAGTCTGCTGTATGATGGCTGTCCTCATTTTGATTGGCCAAGGAATGGAGAAGCCAGAAGTTACTGATGAGTTGCTGAATATAGAGAAAAATCCCCAGAAGCCTCAATATAGCATGGCTGTGGAGTTTCCTCTAGTCTTGTATGACTGTAAGTTTGAAAATGTCAAGTGGATCCATGATCAAGAGGTTCAGGAGTTCAGTGTTACTCACCTGCAGCAACTATGGGTTAGTCATGCCGTCAAAAGCCACATGTTGGGGCTGGTGAGATGGCTCAGTGGTCTAAAGCACCTACTTAGAACAAGCTTAGCA